AGGAGAGAAAGGGTATAAAGTGGAGAAAAAGGGGTAAAAGGGTAGGAAGGTGGGTAAAAGGGTAGGAAGGAGGGCAAAAGGGGAGGAAGGGGGGTAAATTAATATAAAGGGGAGTAAAAGGTTGGAAAGGGGAGAAAGAAAGTAGGAAGAGATAGAAGGGGGGGGATTTCTTAAAAAGTATGTATCAGACATATGTAATGTGTATTTACCCACAACATATATTTAAACATTTACAAGGATATGATGTTGTAAACAAAAATAGTTTTATTTAATAGATAATTTAAGAGAAAATATAAAAAAACTAGATATTAAAATATCTAAAACCTAGAACATGTAAAAAAGTTTTTTTTTGTTCATCAAAAGTAAATATTTCAATTTTATTATTTTGTATATCAATGCATAATTGTATTTCTGGGCTTTTGCCTGAATATTCTTAAATTATTTATTTTGTATTTTGAATAAAATAAGATATATCATGCAGAAATCCACAAAAATAAGATAGTTTGCACATCGGGAACCAAAGGAAAAAAGTATGCAAAGAATCTATACTATATCTATACTTATTGACATTGTATATGTATATCTTCCTAGAATAAGTTCAGAACATTTTCATTAAGATACAATATATATATGATTTTTTTGAAATCTAAATATTTATTGTCTTTTTTAATTGTACAAAGAAGTTAACATGTAGTCGACAAATTCGTTTACATTATTTTAGATTTGTAAAATAAATACAAAATTGCTTACATGTGTTTACATTTTTTTATGAGAGATTTGTATAAGGGCCAAATACGTACATTTCTTGTCGTTTTTCAAACTCGAAAAGTGTTTAATTCTTATAAATTCTCGAATTTCTCTCTGTTTCTTATAAGCAAGAAATGAGCATTTCACTTTCGCAGAGAAACTGTATCAGGACGTGCAGAGAAGTATGATATAGATGGAAATCTTGTGGAGACTCTTCCAAACTGCCGTGCAAGGTAAATGAATGCAATATTAGGCATTAATTTATTTACGGGAAGAACTAAAGATTATTTGCAAGTAAATATAGTATAGAACAGACTATAAAACAATATTCATATATCTATATATATATAAAGGTCGTTAGAATCAATATTTTAAATGAGGTTGAAAATTGTCAAAATATTGTGAAATGTTGAGAAAATTAGGATTTATTTTAACAAGAGTTGGGTTTCTGTTGAAAGCTTAGTAAAAAAATGTCAAATATACATTCCTTAAAGGGACTAGAGACGTAATTTCAAATTCCAAGTCCAGATCACGAAGCTTTGTCTAATAAGGATTGAATGAGATATCCATAATCATATCTTTGAAGAGGTAATGTTTTCAATTGTGGCTTATTTACAAAGGATATATCTGCTGTAGAAACAGTGTATTGAAAGAATTAATCTCTTTTCAAACTAAAAAACGATATATCATATATATCATATATCTCATATATATCTCATACTTTATTGTTCGATCAGAGAAAGATTTAAAGGGTTTCACTTTTCTGAGACGGGGCGAAATGTTATTTTGAGGGGGTGGGGGGATCTAGCCCCCTCCCCCTGTCGAAAATATTTTTAAAGAAAGCCTTTTTTTAGGATTTTAAGGTCCCACAAATTTTTTGTGGGACCTTGCGTGACCCCAAGTAAGGTTTAGGGATGATCAAAGTTTCAAAAATTTGCCTCCATCAAAATTCGATTTTTGAAAGTAATAAATCCGCGAAATTATTTGTTTGTTTTTGTTTTACAATGTACACAAAAAACAAGTTCACAATTGAAATGGAAGATAGGCGCGAAGCGCCCAAAAAGCATAGTACTCCTAATTAGCTGCTGCTACAATATCTTAGATTAGTTCTAGAAAAGGGAAAATACTAAATATAGACACTCACACCCCCCTCCCCTCTATACAGAGGGGTATTAGTTTTCACCCCCCCTCCTCCCGGGAATAATTTTCCCCTCATACTTCCTTATCTGATAAAATTCCTCCTTCTAAGTTCATCATTTTATGCTTTTAGGGGAAACACAGGTGACATGATTCCTCTGCAGAGCTAGGATGAGGAAAATTATGAATGATACTGATATCAGTAGTTTTTTTACTTTTCACTTATTTTAACTGATTTTACCTAACTCTACATAACATTACAAAATTTTACTAAATTCCATAAATTTTAACAAATTTTTACTAATTGTTCCCAGATTTTACTAATTTCTACAAATTTTATCTAATTTTTACTAATTTTTACTATTTTTACTGATTTTTACAAAATTTTCACTGATATTTATTACTTTTTACTTTTTTTAAAATTAAGTTTCACTAATTTCTACAAACTTTTACTCGTTTTTCCAATGTATTTTTTCCTTATTTTTTTACTATTTAAAAAAATACTAATTTTTGAATAGGTTCACCGATCTTCAGTTTTCACCAATTTTCCCCAATTTTCCAAATTTTTTTTTCCGATTTCTAATTATTCTTACTTATTTTTATTAAGTTTGACAAAGTTTTACCTTTTCTAAGTTTTTATTGCTTTTTACAAATATTATTTGTTTAGACCAAGATATTTTCTAATCCTCACAGATGTAGCAGACTAAGATGTTTCTGAATCCTCACAAATGGTGCAGATAGACCAAGATATTTCCTAATCTTCACAGATGTTGCAGATAGACCAGGATATTTCCTAATCTTCACAGATGTTGCAGATAGACCAAGATGTTTCCTAATTCTCACAGATGTCGCAGATAGACCAAGATATTTCCTAATTCTCATAGATGTTGCAGATAGACCAAGATGTTTCATATTTCTCACAGATGTCGCAGATAGACCAAGATATTTCCTAATTCTCATAGATGTTGCAGATAGACCGAGATATTTCCTAATTCTCACAGATGTCGCAGATAGACCGAGATATTTCCTAATTCTCACAGATTTCACAGATAGACCGAGATATATTTCCTAATTCTCACAGATGTCGCAGATAGACCGAGATATTTCCTAATTCTCACAGATGACGCAGATAGACCGAGATATATTTCTAATTCTCATAGATGTTGCAGATTGACCAAGACATTTAATAATCCTCATAGATGTAGCAGATAAATGTTACACCGTTTTTCTTTTTGGTATCATACAACTAGGGCTGTGCTCGTTTTTAGAAACAAAAAATATACAATCGTTTGTGTAAGACGAATGTTAAAAAAAACGATCTTTCTTGTAATTTTTTCTTTTCATTAGATTTGCATTTTTAAAGGTTTGATTTTTGAGAAGATTTTGCTGTCAGAGAATTTCCAAAAATTTGAACGATTTTTTTCCAAAAAAGTGTGTCTTAAACGAATTTACGTCGTTAAAGAAGATACGGTCATCTAAACTCAAAACGAATTTTCTTTCGACCACTATAACGATTGCAATAAAAATGCTATTACATATGATTAAAAGAACGATTGTTTTCAAAACTGATCGTTTCGATTCTTATGTTTTTTTATCTACGTTGTTATCGAAATGATCAGTCCGTTTTTCAGAAAAGTGAAAACGATCCGTCTGTAATCCCTACATTATGAAACTATTTGAATATTATCATTTTGTGTGGGACACCTAGGGCTGGGCGTCATTCTCAGGGAACGATTGTTCTTTCAGGGGAACGAACGGAATTCTTAAGAACGATGCCATTGTTCAAAAAAAAAGAACGAACACATAGAACGTTTTTTTTAATATTGGAACTATATATGAAAGAACAAACATGGAACTAACGGTAATTGGTTGAAAAGAAGTGTCTGGAATCGTTCTATCAGAGGAACGCGTTATAAATCATCTAGAAATAATAGAAATGGGTGAAAATTGTAAAGTTTTAATTTATCTGTTTATTTGTAAATTCTGTCAGTTTGANTCAGGTTTATAAATATGTTTTAAAATATGATATTTTCTATGTTTTTGGCTTGGGACAAATATATATATTTGATTTGATTTGATTTGATTAGAATGGACAGTTACCTTACTGTCAACTTGTCAAGCAACCCTCTGTTTTACGCGCGGTGTGAAATTCATTTCACTATTTAATTAATTATTTCGGCATTAAAAATAATCTTTCTGCCGATAGAACAAAAAAGCATAATTTTTTACCACAAATTACCAATTTTAAATAGAATGTATTTAAAATAAAATTTATTCATATTTAAAACTTACACCTGTAAACTAATTAATATAAAAAATTAAAAGTTTTTGATTGAAAGCATAGACAAGCAAATCAGATTTGAAGTGTTGATCACTATTACATTAATAAAAAAATTAATATTTAGTTGTAAGTAAATGCATTTTTATAAAGTTGTACTGCTCACCGAGGGATAAATGTTAAAAAAGATATAATTATTCAGAAAAAACTAGTTAAACAAATTTAATATTCTTAAAAACATGAATTACAAAAAACTTTGTGTGCAGAAACCTTAGTGATATATTTTCATGTCGTCTTATCAAAAGGCTAGATAATTTACAATTAACAATTGACAAGATTTAAAACTGTTAAATAAGATCACACAAATGTAAAAAATTAAAAGTCGTAATAAAATAGTTCTTAAAGAACTAGGACTTCAGTGTGTCATTTCTATAAAAGATGTAAATTGTCACCAGAACATTTCCCCCTTTATCATTTACACTGAACCACTGTTCATCATCTATAAAATTGTCCCAGGTTGAACCACTGTTCTAAACCGGTTGTAAGATCAATATCATCTAATGGAACAGTTACGGACCCTAGAAACATATTCTCCTGAAACTGACTTGAGTCCCAGACTGTGGCCTGCAGGGTTCGGCACCTAAATAAAAAGTAATTAAAGGGATTGTTTGTTGACTTAAAACAGTTCCTCCATGCTCGATTCACAACTCTACCCTTTAACAAAACCCGTTTTCTTGTTTTCCCGCTGAAAAATGTTATTCTGTAAATGACTTGCAGATTTATGCAGCAAGAACAAAGGAATGAAATAAAAAGTATAGTTTTCAGGTTAAAATTGGTTCTAAAGTTTGACTATATATATAAAGTTATATTAATCTTTGTCTGTCTGTTTGTTAGGATGTCCTATCATAACTCAGGAACCCTTTGATCGTTTTGTCTCAAATTTTGAGTCTAGCGGTTTGACTTTTAGAGACCTAAAGATTAGTTTCCCGAAAAAGCTTGGTCCAAAGCTAGTTTATCTGAAGGGTGTAACTATGTTCATTAAAAAAGATTCCTACTTACATTTTGAATTCTATAACTCTTAATATTGGCAATACAAACTTGTGGATTCATATTTACTAATACATTATATTTGTAAAAATAAAACTAGTCCATGCTAAAAAATCAGATTTGAAAATTTCTTAGTAGTTATTTTGGGTCATTTGTGATGTGGCATTGCAAATTGCAGCTGCCAGCTAGCCGGACAGTAGACATTACATAGACTCAGTTCAGTTCAGTTCAGTTCAGTTCAGTTCAGTTCAGTTCAGTTCAGTTCAGTTCAGTTCAGTTCAGTTCAGTTCAGTTCAGTTTAGTTCAGTTCAGGCTTCTAACCAGTTCTAAAATGAGTTGAGATCAGAAACAATGACAAACAGACAGACATACAGACAGAGATTACTGCTTAGCTGGTAAGGTTTCATATGTCTATATCGATATAAAATTGTTTTTGTTTATGTATTTTCCCTTTCCATGTCTTGGTAAATCTTTTAACCCTTTCATGTCTCTAAAGCTTATTAGGGACAGATTTATCATATTAAAAACTTTTTTCTTTTACAATTATCCGGAGATTAAAATTTCCCACAACAACGTCATGAAAATAATCCCCCATTCACTTTTAAATTTTATCCTCCTAGAATTTAAAGATTATTTCTTTTTTCATTTTAACATTTTAGGATTCTCATCATGCAGTAGGGGTCCTCAATATTCAGTTTTTTTTCCTTGGCAAAAATTTTACTTTTGAAAAAACAGCAATTTCAAAAATTATTTGTTCATTTTTATAGCCAGGCTTTTAGGGCGCTAAGACCGAAATATATTTTCAATAAATGTGGAACTAACATCTACTTTTTTACTCTACAGAGGTTTGGTCCATCACCATCACTGAATTTTAAATCAGAATAATATACACCTCTGAATAAATATATCAGTTTCCTGTGCTTTCTTCCACATTATGATTTGCTGATATGATACTCTAACTTGCTGACCTACTCCAAACTTCCAACTCCTACACCTCAACTCTACCTATTTGGAATTGATTTCTTAGTTGACAAATGTTGTTGGCGAAACTAGAATTTGAACACAAAACTCAAAGTACAGAATAAATGTAAATTAATTGCCTAATCCATACTCTCATATGGCCCCTGACCAACCCCCCTGCATTAACCTTCAAGTCTGATAATCTTTTCAGGTCACGGGCATTCCTGGTTAGGCAATAAAACTGAAAACTAAACAAGGCAGAAAATGAGTTTACTAAATCAGAACACAACATACAATTATAATTGAGCATAGTGTCCCAAAAAAATGGTTTGTTTTCTTCAAAATTATCAGAATCAGGGACAGTCAACAGAAGGAAAAGAAAAAAAGAAAAAGGAGAGAAACGATGACAAGAAGAAGAAAAATCAGAATTTTTCTGTATCAACTACATCCAATTCATAACATGTTTTTGGAAAATAAATAATTTCTAGTTTTTCCTCAAGAGGGGGACCGGGGGGTATTAAGGTGTTTATATAGGCGTATCTAATTCAAGAAGAAAAGATTTTTTTTTGTATGAATATATGAATAATAATTCAAATCATTGTTCTGCTATCTTTTATTCAGATAAATACTATGAATAATAATAAAAATAAATCTTCAGAGTAGAATATAGTACTTTAGATAGCAATATACTACTTCAAGTGAGTAAGTAAGCAAGATTGTATATTTTCTTGAAAAATCAATATTTCATAGAAGCTAGATATGATTTTTTTTAAAGAGGTTTCTTTGCCAAATTGGGGAAATTGAAATGAATGATGATGATGAAGGATGAACAACCTTGCCTTTTGATTTTCNTCCCCCCCCCCCCCTCCACTGGCCCTGGGGTAAGGGTAATTCTTAAAATTATACACCCTTGAAGTGAGCACTTGACTTGACAATACTTAAAAATGGCAAAACTTACAAAAAGTTTGATCTTGACAAAACGTAGAAATAACACATTTCAACTTTTAATGAAAAAAAATATATTTGTTGAACTTGGAAGAAATATTTGACATTTTGTAGTATTTAAAGCATGGTGTAATATTAAGAGTATAATCAGATACTAAAACCCCTTAACCCTCTTTCTGAATCTGAGAGGAGTATAGAACCTGGAGATTGAGATTAGTGCACCCAGGAACCTTATACAAGATAGACGTTAAAGCGAAGCTTTGTTTATCTAAATAAGGCCTGGGGACCTGCACTATTAGACTGCTACCAGACTGATATATCAGAAAGAGTAAAGAGCTTACTGTCCATCTGGTTTAGGAGAGACAAAAACAAGGGTTAATCATACTCGTTTGTAGAATTGAGAATTATAAGAAGATTTAGGAGAGACAATTACAAGGGTTTATCATACTCGTTCGTAAATAAATAAATAAATAAATAAAAGATCAACCATCATTCCGTGGAAATCAAGGCCGAGACCCCATCAAAAATAACCACCAAAGGATGGAAATTAATGTATATCCGATTTTGACATAAGTCTAGTGTGATCGAGACATCGAGGTCTAGGCCAGTGACAGAAGTCACCTCCCCACTGCACACAAACAGCGCCTGGACTAGTGCATTTTGCTTCATAAGTCCAGTATGATTTAATCATATTTATTTCTGATATTATTGATTATTTGATTAATTAGAGCTGGCTAAGTAAATCTACTACCTACAACAGGATACTACTCCTCATGGCAGGCCGTCAACCAAGTCTCAACCAGGACTGCCAGGCTCCTCCCTCTCCCAAGTAGATCATTTTTATTAGCCCCATCCCCTCCAAGGTAAGCCCTGAGCACTGATCGGATTGAGTCAACACCCCTTCCCAATTCCTTATTGAGGAACACCGAAATGCCAAATCTCCTACGCTGAGCTGATACGCATGGGCATTTAAAAACCACATGAGCTTCACTAAGCTTTACCTGAACCCCCCTGTCCATGCACCATGGACACCAGGTATGAGTGCAACCATACCTGTCCTTATATCTATTACCTAGCTGAGCGTTCCCAGCCCTAAACCTACACAAAGCTTTACTAGCTTTAGAATCATTTACATGGGATTGCAACTTGAACCAAGTACTTGGTTGGGAAGCGGCCTTCAGAGTAGAATGTTCTCGTTTGATGGTAAGGACATGAGTTACCGCCCTATCCACTAGAGCTTTATGCAACCGTTTCTTAGATGTATAATTTGAGATAGTCCCAAAGTCCTTTTGAATCTTAAGCCATGATCTAACCCAGGGCTCATCAGGATATTTAAGTACCACCCTTAAGACCGACATCAAAGCGGTGTTCCCTTTAGACTTACACACACTCCAGACATACATTGCCTGCCTGGTTTGGATCCGGAAGGCCATTGGCATCAGTCCTGCATCCATCCAGGCCAAGACTCTGGATGTAGAAGCAGGAACTTGTAATATAGACCTACCCACCATATTCTGCATCCCATCCAATTCACCCTTAAGACCGACATCAAAGCGGTGTTCCCTTTAGACTTACACACACTCCAGACATACATTGCTTGCCTGGTTTGGATCCGGAAGGCCATTGGCATCAGTCCTGCATCCATCCAGGCCAAGACTCTGGATGTAGAAGCAGGAACTTGTAATATAAACCTACCCACCATATTCTGCATCCGATCCAATTCCTGGATTGTACCCATCTTGATCGAAACCGCTTCAACACAGTACAAGATCGCTGGTATTGCACAACCCTCCCATAACTTTCTTGCCACCATGGCCCTGCCAAGAACCCCCATAGAAAGGTTCATAATAGAGTATGCATAGTTTGTGGCTTTTCGTACCACATCTTCCTCATATACCCCAATCATAGATCTCCCTCTAACCTGAAGGTTCACACCTAAGTACTTTGCCACTAAAATTTCTTCTATTGTTGAGTCCTCAACTTTCCAGGAAACTGCATACCGGGCATTAGAGAGAATGAAAGTCTTGGAAGCAGAAAGATTCATATGCACATCTCTGCAAAAACCTTCTGACGTTTTTAGTAACCGGTTCATACCCATCTTGGGGGTCCTAGACAACAGCAGGAGGTCATCTGCAAAGAATAGAGCCGTCACAATAACCCCACCCAAAGCCACCCCTAGCTTTAAATTTTGGAGCTGCTGACCTAGTGATGCTATATATAGTGCAAAAAGCATTGGAGACAAACTACACCCCTGTTTAACCCCCTGTGTGGAGTAAAGCGGCTCTGACAGTCCCTGTGCCAGGTTGACTTGTACACAATCATTATAATATATCGATCGGATTAGTGCAACCACTCTGCCCCCGAAGCCAATACTTCTGAGCTTGGTGTACAGTAACTCTCTACAGTCCGAGTCGTAAGCTTTAGCAATATCACAAAAAGCCAGTGAGATTGGCTGATTCCTGCGTTTAGCAGCCTTCAGCGCTGAAACAATCAAGAATACACAGTCCACAGTTGATCTTTTCGATCTAAATCTGAACTGGATTGGGCCATAGAACTACTGCTTTTCACAGATGGAGTCCATTCTTTTGTGCAATATTTTAGTGAACACACTTAATAACACACTTGAGACCGTGATAGGTCTTTTCTTTCCTACCTCAAGTGACGGCTCTTTTTTATCAATTAAGGTCATTTTCCCCATGAGTATGGATTCAGGGACCCGTCCTATTCTGTAGGATTCATTGACTACTTCAGTCAAACGCTGAATTGTAGAATTGAGAATTGAGAATTATAAGAAGATTTAGGAAGGGTCAACCATACTCATTTGTAGACTTGATTAGGAGAACTAGGACAGGCTAGCCCAACTACAGACCAGCCAATCCAACTACAGATCAGGATATACTCTTCAGCTGGATCTATGAATAGAGACACTGGAGATACAGAACAGCTAGAACAGCTAGGACAAGCTAGTCCAAACAAGGACCGAGATGTATCAGATGGAGCTCTATATTCTCTAGCTGGTTCTATTGACAAACAGCTCTTCACATACCTGTTGTGAAACCAATCCAGAGGATCCTGAGTACGGAGACGCCACCGCTCACATTCTGGTTACAAATCCAACAAAGAAAGCTGCTGAGAATGCAATAGAAGCATCTAAGATTGTAGGAACAGCTAAATGACATATTGAGTTCAAGAAACTGCCTAGATAGATACTGCACTGGAGCAGCTAAACAAGATATTGAGTTGAAGAAGCTGCCTAGATAGATACTAAACTGGAGCAGCTAAACAAGATATTGAGTAAAAAAAAGCTGCCTAGATAGATTCTGAAATGGAGCAGCTAAACAAGATATTGATTTGAAGAAGCTGCCTAGTTAGATACTGAACTGGAGCAGCTAAACAAGTTATAGATAAAAAAATTTCTTGCAGATTTATGCTGCGGAGGCTTCAAAATTGTGAAAAAAACTCTTTTAAAAATAGAAAAACCAACATCTTCCTCATTGTTACTCATATAGAGATTATAAGTATAAAGCAGGGAATCTTACATGCAACTCTTTAAATGGAGGGTCACTTTAAATTAAGTCTGTATTTCCTTTAAGAAGAACTATGACCTAAATGCCTCCAGGACTATTGTCAAGTGTCAAGTAATCTGATTTATAAGTAAAACCCTTTCCTGTCACAATAGTATGTAGTCACAGATTATTTGTCTAGAATTAGCATTACTTGCTTATTGATGGTTGTATAATGTATATATTTATCATTATCAAAAAAGTTGGAACCATAACTTAAAAAATAATTATTAAAGTTAGTTAAAGTAAGTTGGTCAGTATCTAATGTTTAATTAATAGTTTTTGACGGTTTGGATTCAATTTTCTAGTTTTATTATTCTAAAATGTTGGAAGAGAAACTTCTGCTAAATATGAGGCAGCAAAAAGATGAGATCATTCCTAGAAGTGTTGTACCCCCCCCCTTTAATTAAATATAACTTCTGGGAATAACATACAGGGAGTTAACAATTTATTTTGTTATATTTTTACTTTTGATAAAGATGTATATTAAAAGCAAGAGAGGCAGCTTACATGTTATAACACCCTCCCCTCCGTGCTTAACAAAAAATTTTGGAACTATTTACCCTTGAAGATCATTGCATGTCCAGGATACATCCCACACAAATATTAAAAAGAAATAAGATTCAATATAATCCACCAAGATGAAAAAAAACATTTCGACAAAAACAATATTTTTAGAAAGAACTTTTCCCAGGGGGGATGATAGTTCTCTACCTGTGTGCTCAGTTAGCTTTACAGTACACTTACAATTGTTTACTAATAATGATATACTATAGGTTAGGCCAGAATCTACTTATAATAATCAAATATGTAGTACGCTCTCGGTATAGTTGATGGCCTATACAATTAGTAAAGGATTAGCGTACATCATCACTCTATATACTATAACCTCGTTGACTTTTCCCTAAAGATAGACATACACAATACACATTACACTTATGCGCCAATTCAAAAATAAAAATCAGCCAAAAATTGAAAACGATTTAAAATACCCAACTTTCAGCTTATTAGTTAAAAGCTAAAATTATTTACAGGAAAGGGGGTGCGAAGCACTGCAATAATAATAAAAGACAAATATTAAGAACAACAAAAATACGAACGAAGCAGAACAAAAATAACAATACTGATAACAGTGATGATAATAATACTATTTACCTGACTCTATCTAAGGGTATTCTATATTCTAACATCTCCATGAAGGAAGGATTACAAGATCTTCGCACAACCTAGAGTAGTGTTCGTTCAGGAGTATTTAAATAACGGATCCATAAAAACAAATATTGTAAAAGCGCGTACGAAGGTATTTAAAAATAATTCTGTTAATTGTTTTGTAGCGTTTATAACATACAGGTTAACCCACATAGGATGAGACTGTAAAGACGACCTAAAACTCCTAAAATATGAAGATACCAAGGCAAAAGACTTACTAAAGTCTATAAAATATAAAGTCTATTAACAGCTTTTAATATGATTTGACAAAGAAAACAATATGTTTACAGTTACAGGGAATCTTGATTATACATCCCATGGTAGTGGTAATGGGGGAATATGTTTACAGTTACAGGGAATCATTAATCCCAGGGTAGTGGTAATGGGGGAATATGTTCACAGTTGCAGGGAATCATGATTATACATCCCATGTAGTAGTAATGGGGGAATATGTTTACAGTTACAGGGAATCATGATTATACATCCCATAGTAGTAGTAATGGGGCAATATGTTTAAAGTTTCAGGGAATCATGATTATACATCCCATGTAGTAGTAATGGGGGAATATGTTTACAGTTGCAGGGAATCATGATTATACATCCCATGGTAGTGGTAATGGGGGAATATGTTTAAAGTTTCAGGGAATCATGATTATACATCCCATGTAGTAGTAATGGGGGAATAAATTTAAAAGTACCCAGTACGAATGATAGAGATAAGGCGTTCATTAATACCTATACTCCCTAGGGAAGTTCCAACCTCTGAACAGAAATATTTATAACATTTATAAATATTTGTGATATCGGGAAAAGTTAAATTTTACAAGTATTGGGTAAAACTAATAAAACTGGAACATACACTTTATTGGTTTAGTTGTGTTTGTTTTATCTTTTATTAACTTATAACAATAAACAGAATGATTCAAAATAAAGATAGATCTTTGGTAATATTTTCAAAAATCTCACTTCGGAGAGACAAAATAGAAATTGAGGCAAAAATGATTTAAAATCTAACTTCCAAAGAGTGACTTTCAGTTTCTTTTTCTTCATTTTACATTTTCAAATAAAAAAATGGTGGTCATCCTTATAGTTTAAGGTGGTCTTTTATCAAAATTACTTAATTTCATTAAGGTATATATAGGATACATGAGTTGAACCATTATATAGTTATAGAAATAGATTGGTAATTTTTTTTCTTTAAACCCGCGGACACTTTCTTTAGTTAGTCCATTAAAAAGACCGGGTTTCAACAAAACTTTTTTTAGATAAAGAATTCTTCTAAATCGTTGAAATGTTTTTTTTAACAAAAAGTTGGGTATCAGTTTTGTTACCTTTGTTTTCCGTTTAGTTTGTTTGGTTGGATCTGGATGCAAATACACTTTTACATAAGAGTTGGGCTCCTCCTGGAATTAAACAAAAATAATATTCAATTAATTAAACAATAAATAAATTCATCGGGTTAACAGTATTTAATAATAACAATTCTTGTCATATTATTTTGTCATTTCTCAATTGCATGCATTTAATTTTATAATATTATTATGCATTTTTTTCTAAGCTTTCAAAAATAGGACTTTATAGTGTTTTTTTTTTCAATTTCAGGTTTTCAATGAACTCACTTACTCTTTCATCATTTTTGCCAGGTTTTCAATTAACTGACTTACTCTTTCATTATTTATTGCCAGGTTTTCAATGAACTGACTTACCTTTGCATCATTCATTGCCAGGTTTTCCACGAACTGACTTACCCATGTATCATTCATTGCCAGGGTTTAAATGAACTGACTTACTCGTGCATCATTCATTGCCAGGGTTTCAATGAACTGACTTACCCTTGCATCATTCATTGCCAGGTTTTCTATGAGCTGACTTAGCCGTGCATCATTCAATGCCAGGTTTTCAATGAATTGACTTACCCGTGCATCATTCATCGTCAGGTTTTCAATGAGCTGACTTACCCATGCATTATTCATTGCAAGGTTTTCTATGAGCCGACTTACCTGTGCAGTGTGCATTATTCATTGTCAGGTTTTCAATAATCTGACTTACTGGTGAATTATTCATGAACTGACTTACCAGTGAATTATTCATTGCCAGCTTTATTATGAATTGTATGAATTGACTTACCCGTGCATTAATCATTGTCAGGTTTTCAATAAACTGCCTTACCCGTGCATCATTCATTGCCAGGTTTTCAATGAACTGACTTACCCGTGCATCATTCATTGCCAGGTTTTCAATGAACTGAATGAGAACATGTAAGGTTTGGTTCCTGTAGTAAACCTTCAGCTTGAGACGACCTTTGATCCGACCAACACTAGGTTTCCTCACATGACCTCGAGGATCTAGAATTAGAGGTTATGAGTCAAACCTCGAGGTTTTCTTATTAGAGGTTATGTTCTTTTTAGATGTTGCAATCAGTTCAAACCATAGGGTAGTTTTCCGCTTAATCAAATAATGGATCTTTTGAAATAGGTTGAGACGAAAAAATAAATATATTCCAAAACCAGCAATGAAAAAGAAGGACTAGTTTAAAAGTAATATTGAATAAGTTTACCCTTAAGCTTCTGAATATGTATAGATGTTTCTTCTTCATCCTAAACTCATGAGAACACATTGATAACTCCAAACCTTTAAAATTTCAGCAGTAATTCGATTATTGTTAAAATCTTTTGTAAAATATACTTATGCGAAATTGGAAAGTAAACTTTTTCTTTCAGCCGTTTTTCCTTGATAACGAGGGAGGAAAGGCAAGCCACCACGATTCTTGCCTGAACCACATTCTCCCCATTTTCTTATCCAAGTTAATCCATTAAATATTCTTCTTGAATTCCTAAAATTTAGACCCATCTAAAAATTTCGACCAAATTGGCCTGCACAAATAAATAAAGAGAAAGTGGCTAATGTGGCTCGGACGAAGAATAGCCGTGGATGGCCTTAACTCCCTCGTTACCCTTTAACCTTCAAGTAAAAAATGAGCAATGTATCCTTCCTTGAGTAGAGGATGAAAGAATGTGTATACGAGGTCGGAGTGAGATATTTCCTCTGCTAGGACGAATAGATTAGATAAGAAGGTTCCGATCTCACGCTTCCTCTTCTCAGCAACCTTAGCATTACAACCTTTTAGTTATGATTTTATAATTTAACAGATAGGACACTATATGTCGTCTTTTCACGATTTGGATGAAACTCGTTTACAGTAACCCTGAAGCAGAAGCCTAGAGGAGTTTCGCGCAGTCGGCGTAGAATTACAAGAGATAGCCTGTTCTATTCCGACTGCGCAAAACTCCTCTGGGCTTCTGCCTAGGGGTTATTGTGAACGAGTTTCATCCAATTCCGAAAAGACGACATCTAGTGTCCTGGCTGTTATTTTAATTAATCTATGAATTTTGTTAGAACGAGCATCGGGAAAACATTTATCAGTGCAAACTAGACAGAAGGAAAAGGTCAAGTTTATGCAACATTACTGCTACCACTTTGGGACATCATGGCGCCTCTAGTTTTCATTTTTCGCACAAGTATGAAACAAGCAAATTTATCCGGCTACATATCAGAAATTCATTTTTTTTTCGTTTTTCTAAATAAAACCTAGTTACAGATTCCGAGATTTATTTATCGGAGTTTTTTGATGCAATTATTTTTCTAAGGAATATACGCAATTTATTTTCGTATAAAACACAAGACGCTTTTATAACTATGGAAAGTTGACAAACTTTTAAATGGAGAAGTTATGGACCGATAACGTTTGTCAAAAAGCGGTAGAATTTAAATATTTAAGAAAAGTCTGAAAGATCATAAAATTGGTTAACAGATTTTCTTTAGAGTTTAATACGTAAATTTAGCAATAGTGTTAAATCAAAAAACAAACATTTTTAGTTTCAATCTCTTCAACAAAAAAATCTTTAAAAAAAAAAAAAAAGCAACAAAAAAAAAAAAAAAAAAAGCAATTTTTTTTCAAGCAAATAATTACAACATAATTTTAAACCTTGTATTTAAATATTCCAAAAATATAATGTCCTGCATTTTCCAATGCTCCCTAAACAACAACATTAATAAGCCACATTTTTATTTTATTTGAAATACCAAAACAATGTATTATATGGTGTGGATTTTTACAAAAAAAAAATTCAAGTAAAAAAGAAATTACACATATTTCCAATACAGAATGAGATGTCATTTTAAAATGAAAACTTTTGTTATGTACATAATACTTTACTTTATCGACATTACTACTGAGAAACTATAAAATTAGTATTTTTTATAATATTTGAAAATAGGAATTGAGAAAATAGTCAATAATTTTATGCTAACAATAAATAAAATAAAATATATATAATATATATTTAGCCACATCATTATCTTGTAAGAAATGTGCAATTGTATTTATGAAAAATCAACAAATTAAACACCGTGTCCAGCAATAATCTTTCTTAATTATCAATAGAAAATGTTCTGAGCTTATTTAATAAAGTTCTATATATGTATATAATACTAAATATATATATTTGATCTCACGCAGAAATCGAGCAGTATTTTGCCAAATACTCCTTTTAAACTTTTAAGCTATAAATATGCGCTTTGCAATTTCAAAATAAAAAAGTTTGAGTGCGTTGCAATAATTTAAAGCGGCGGCTGTCTAAAATATTGATGAATAAATATCAAATATGTCTAGATATCAGAGTCCTACCTCCCGTATATTACTCCTTCCTATAGAATATCCGTTTGTAATACTAGGAAATTTAGTGAGAGGGTACAGAGTGCACAGACGAGAGTGGAATTCACAAAACTGCCTGAACAAAGTCAAGTGAAAAAAATATCTTTTGTTTTTCTTTAAAACGAATTTTCATGAAATTGGACAAATTCTGTCAATTATTTTCCTTGTCTTGCCAGCATTAATTCAACAAGATCATATATTTCGATTTACAATGGTACCCTTGAAACCTTTATCTGATCAAAAATGTGGAAGATACGGTCGTTTTCCTGACTTGAAAAGTGTTTAATTTTGATAATTTCTCTATTGCTTTTTATGGCAAGGAATGCTCAAATCACTAATGCAGAGAAACAGTACATGAAAATTAACAGTATAAGGAAACAAAAACATGGATATTCCTACTTGATCAAGACAAAGCTCTAAAGGTAACGTTGTAAATCGGGCATTGACATCTTTACATGGAGGGTTACATGAAACTACGCTTACAGAGTCCCTTTAAATCGTCTAAAAGGAACCCCTAAAACATAATCTAGAACACACTACCAAAGATGTCTTTTTTCCTAAATAAAATCGATTAACTATAGTTTTACCTAAAAAAGAAAAATCGCTCAACACAATTCAGACAACATTGCAATTCTAATTTTTTTTTCAACGTTTCTTTTTTTGAAGATTCTGTACCTAACTGTTTATAACCCAACCCGACCTGACCCAACCCAACCAGACGGAATCTGACCCAACCCAACCAGACGGGATCTGACCCAACACAATCAAACCTGATCCAACCCAACCTAAATCTGACCCGACCTCAGCTGACCTGCTGTACCTGACCAGCCCTGACCTTGTGATCTGAGTCTATCCTTACTTGTATGTTCTGAAAATGTATGCTGGATCCTTGATACCCTGCCGACTAATCTTTAGGATGAATACGTAGTGCTTCTCCGTATCATATCTTAACAATTAGAAAAGTTGTATTTGTTGTACAGCGTAGAGTGTACACTGTACAAATCACATATTGTTTGGAATAGCCTTAAGTACGTCACATTAATCCAGTTAATTTCTATCCGAAATGCGAATACCGGACCAAAGTTATAATTTTGCACGCGATGTATATGTGGTTGGGTCCGTGAAGGGAATAGAATAGAATTGTTCATAAAATGCAACTTTAATAACTTTTATTAAATAAAGTTGAAGTTACCGTTTCTGTATCCCGTGTACTACAACCTCCTTAATCTTCCCATCAGACTTCAAACTGAAATTAAAATGTCAAAACCATAAATGTTCAACATTTGTTAAAGATCAAAATCAAACCATTAACATTTCAATCTCTATACCCACAATTCCCCTAAAATTTAAATTTTTTCAACAAAAACGTAGATTTAAAAGAAATGCTTCAACACATGTATGTTGTATGTGTATTTTTAATGGACAACTAAAAAGTATCAATGCCTCGAAAAAACATGAATTGTTTAATAATTCAAAAGGAAGATGACATTTTAGCTACCCAAGGGATAAATACCTGTATTTATTAGGAATAAATGAAAGCGCAACATTGTCCTCACTGCCGCCACTTTTTCCGAACTTCAGCTGCGCAAGATTATGCACGAAGAAGTTTAACTAAAAAAGAAGAAAAGACTTTTCAAAAAACAATCTTATGAACAAAGCAATTATTTCTTTTTCATTAATTGTTGAATATTCGTTGTTCAAAAGAAGACTTTTCGACCAATTGAGGGATACAGTTGAAAATTACAGCGAAACTTTTATGAGATCTATATATTTGTTGAAAGTACAACATAAGAATCTGATAACACTGTTTTTTATTTTCGAAAAAAGAACTGTTATCAAAACGAAATAGATTGAAGATACATGTATTTTTTTGGTAGGAAATTTTTCTCTCAAAAGTTAGTTATGAATCTTGAAAACAAAGCTACAACGTTCAATTTTATTCTAAATCTATTCTACCAATTGGTTAACACTTGATTGCAAAATGTAAGTTTGACTTCCACTACTTATATTCTATATTCATACAAATGTTTAAAAAAATCTTGTGACTTATAACAAATTCTGTTTCGTACTTGATTATTGTATTGGTTAGTTTTGCTACCTGTGTACTGAGTGAGCTGTTAATTGATTCATGAATAAGTTGACCGAACCTAGCAGCTGCTTCCTCTTCAGATAAATCTAGGAGCAGTCGATCATGCACATAGCTGACTGCTTCCTTGGTTACTCCAGGTATACCTTAACCACCATCAGGATTATTAGTAAAGGTAACGATGTTCTTCAAAATGACATCTCCGTAAATGTATTTGTCAAGTTACAACTTCCCAATTGTAATGTGCTTTTACTTCAGAGGCAACATCCCAAACAGACAAATTATAAAGATGTAGATTTTTTAAAGTGGACAGTGGACTTCTACTAAACATTTTCTCAGGAACATTTTTTAAACGTGATAATTTGCACAGGCAAAATATCATTTCTTTGGTTATGATTGAATAATTTTCCCATCAATCTATCAATGTGTGATGAAAAACTGTCATTTTAATATTTTTTCAGCCACCCCCCCCCCCCCTCCCGGAATTTTTATGAATGGGGACAAAATAGTTAAATATTTAACTAACTAGAACAAACAGATAAAGCTGGTAAGGATAATGGGATTATCAAAATTCCATTGTTCCTTGGAAATCAGGATTTAAATTGAATAATTACTTTAAATTGGAATGAAAAAATAGATAAAAAGATTAAATTGGATTCAATGAATTGGATATTGCATGAGAAAAATGAATTGAGAAAGTCACATTTTTAAAATTTATTTAAAATTTAAAACTTACCGGAAGACGCCATTAATGCAAAGAGAGTAAGAATAAGGTTCCCTTCCCGACGCAAAATATTGAATGCCTAAAATAAAAACAAAATATCTTTTAAAATTCACGAATCCTTAAAATACAAATATTGTGCAGTTCCAGATCAAATCTTGTTGTAGATAAACTTAAATCTATAAATCTATAAATGGAGAGTAATCATGACATATCAATTTGTTCTATTTTGAAATTAATTGGAACCTAAATAATTTGATGTTTTCTGGATTAATTTACATTATTTGTTTTCCTGGAAACTTTAATAGAAAATCAAATACTTTTCACTTGAATAGATTCCCCGCACAAACAAAAATAAGTAACTGAAATAATTTTTTTAATATAAACAGATTTACAAAAGTTTTAAAAAATACTTCATTCGGATATGTCTAATATATATATATTTCAAAAGATTTATAAATCAATAAGGAGGATGGACAGGAGGTTGGTGAGGAGGAGACGGAGGAGGATGGACAGGAGGTTGGTGAGGAGGAGACGGAGGAGGAAGAACAGAAGGTGGTGGATAGTTAGGAGTAGAAGGAGGATGAAGTGGAGGATGATGAAGCGGAGGATGAAGCGGAGGATGATGAAGCGGAGGATGAGGAGAATGATGATGATGAGGATGAAGATGAGAGTATGAGGAAGAGGATAATAAGAATTAGGAGAAAGATGAGGATTAGAAAGAGTACAAGAATGAGGAGAAAGATGAGGATGAAAGCATGATGAGGATGATAAGGATGGGGAGAATGAGAGAATGATGAGGATAAGAGAATGATGAGGATAAGAGAATGATGAGGATGAGAGAATGATGAGGATGAGAGAATGATGAGGATAAGAGAATGATGAGGATAAGGAGGTTTACATTGTGCTACCCTACTAAAAGTCCTACCTGGCAGGAGAGTTCAACGAAAGTATGAAACTTCTCTGTTGACCCTTTTCCTCCGTTGATAACATACAACATATCCGGGGTCAGTACAAACGGTACACGGTCACGCCTGTACAAGTACACTTGTATGCAGTACATTAATATCAGTGTTTAGGATTTAGGCTTCCTAGATCCACGGGCAAAATATCAACCCAAAAACTGCCAAACAAATCTTTTGATCTGAAAATTCAAATCTGAATTGTTTAATTAAAGAAAAAGAGATTATTTAAAATGCTTTTCTCTAAATATTTCATCTCATTCCTCAAGTTGTTGAATAAAAATAAGTGAAAAAATCTTCTTCTGTTAAAAAAATTAGTGAAACTTTTGAATCCAGATCCATTATTTTCAGTGCGTATTACGGATCCGGATCCGCATCAAAATAAATGGATCCTAAGCACTGCAGTAAAGATTTACAGGCAGTCTGATCTATTTTTCATAAAATTCTTTTATGTTACTTTTGATAGATTGTATTATAAAATGTTATTTTTAATGAGGACTTAGCATTGTTTTGTAGAAATGATAATTGACTAGTTATTTTCATTGAAAGGTCCAATTAATCCTAAGAAATTGGAAACAGCTTAACTTCTTACTATTTTACAATTTTATGAACCTAGGAATTTTAGGATCGAGGAAACTGTGATAAATTGAATTTTTGGCCAACCAGAACCAGAACCATATATTCCAAAAAAAAATTGAACCTAGAAATCATTTATGTTTATGTCAAAAATCACATAAAAGGTGATTATTCAAATAATTAAAAAAAAAAATTCTTTTAAAAGATTTGAATTTGAATGTCTTTACTGTATCCCCTTCTAAATTAGTACTTACTTAATTGCTCCAAACTTTTGAGCATCTCCCAGAAATTTTCCAAAGTCTATGTGGAAAAGATGTCCTGATGTTTTTAGCATAATGTTGTCATTGTGTCTGTCACAGATCCCCAGTACATAGGTTACTACACTGTACCCAGCACAAGACCCTACAGTAAATATGTATTTTGAATGAGTGAATTGGAAAAAAGATGAATGAATAAATGTAGTAGATGAATAAAAGAATAAATACATGACTTGGTAAGGTTAGAATGAACTCTAGCTGGCTAGGAAAGAATGGGTGAATGAATGAATGAATAAATGAAAGGATACATAAATGAATGAATGAATGAATGAATGACAGGATGAATAAAAGAATGAATACATGACTTGGGTAAGGTTAGAAACAGCTCTGTCGAACTCTAGCTGGCTAGGAATGAATGAATGAATGAATAAAAAAATGAATGAAAGGATGATTAAAAGAATTAATGAATGAATGAATAATGACTTAGTAAGGTTAGAAACAGCTCTCTTGAACTCTAGCTGGCTAGGAATGAATGAATGAATGAATAAAAGAAAAGATGAATAAAAGGATGACTGAATGAAAGGATGAATAAAAGAATTAATTAATGAATGAATACATGACTTGGTAAGGTTAAAAACAGCTCTCTTGAACTCTAGCTGGCTAGGAATGGATGAATGAATGAATTAATGAATGAAAGGATGAATAAAAGGATGAATAAATGAATGAATGAATGAATAAATTAATATATTACTTGTAAAGTTAGAAACTGCTCTCTTGAATTCTAGTTGGCTAGGATTGTGTTTCTGCAACCACTCGTTTAAAGTTTCAGATCTAAATGTTCCCGTAACACCTGTCTCAGCAACCTGTAACAAAAAAGCCATGAAAAATAAAAAATAATTGAATGAAACAAAAAATAAATATATCGATTTTAAAACATTCATAATTAATAAACATTTAACATAAACTTTGTTAGGGATAAAAAAGCTGAAAAACATTAAAATGAAAATTATCGAGTTTCACATAAAAAAAACAAGAATATTTTTTTTTAGTGAAATTAGTCTTTCACTAAACAGTACTTTTCTATTCTGTAAAGTACAGTAGAGTAAAATGTACATGCCACTGGAAACTCTTGATAATAGGAGTTCAAAAGGTGACATTACTGCTATGACTTTTTAACCTTTAGTTTTAGCTTACGTACAAGTTAAAGAAAACCAAGTTCATTTGGCTACGTATATTACAAATTCAAAACTTTTTTTCTCTATAGCTCTTAGTCTTCAATAAGTTATTTTTGAAAACATGAAGGATCTCAATCTGAAGTACAAACTGTAATTTAACTTAGATTGACGTGATACCTGGATTTCTCTTAGTGTGTTAGCGTGTTCTACAAATTCAACAATTCCAGATTTATATCCAGTAGGAACACAGCTGAAATAATAACAATATTTTTCCAGACTTAAATTCAGTAGGAACACAGCTGAAATATAACAATATAATTCCAGACTTATATCCAGTAGGAACACAGCTGAAATATGACAATATAATTCCAGATTTATATCCAGTAGGAACACAGCTGAAATAATAACAATATTTTTCCAGACTTATATCCAGTAGGAACACAGCTGAAATATAACAATATAATTCCAGACTTATATCCAGTAGGAACACAGCTGAAATAATAACAATATAATTCCAGACGTATATCCAGTAGGAACACAGCTGAAATAATAACAATATAATTTCAGACGTATATCCAGTAGGAACACAGCTGAAATAATAACAATATTATAAGAAATAATCATATTAATAATGATAATGAAAATTATGATTACGATGATAAATCAATGATAATAACAATATACTTCCAGACTTAAATCCGGTAGGAACACAGCTGTAAAATAATTTAATAAAATATTAGAAGTAATCATGTATATTAATAATATTAATAAATGATCGAAATAATGATAATAACATCAATAAAAGGATGTAACTATTTTATTGATAATGCCAATTCCCGTTTTGCACTAGCCAAATATTGACATGGATATCAAAAGTGCATCTTAAACAGCTCAATACATGTGTCTGTTTTTTAGATATTTAAAAAATATTTAATTAAAGGCTAAAAACACGTTTTTATGATATACAAATATCTTTACAAAAGCCGGGTTTTACGCATAATTTGATCTTCAAGGGATTTTTACGATTTTAATGTTTTTGATACCTGTGTTTAAAGAAGGATAGTTTATACACATCTTGATTTATTTTTACTATTTCTTTTTTGGGCTTACAATAGTGATTTGTTTTCAAGAAAAAGCAAAATCTCAATGAGTCATCAACACTTTTCTAAAACTGCCTCTTGGAAAACTTTTTAACTGGTGCAAGGTTTCTACATTATTAACAATAAAATCCCCCTAAGTGTCCCCCTCAAATCATAATAATAAAATTAAATACCCTGTAATGATAACAGGGTTACTAAAAAGTTGCCGCACAGCTCAATGCTAATACGGACTTCTTTTAGTTTTGAACCGCGAACGCGATAAATCTTATGTCAGCTGTTCGAGGGTTTATTCTTATGATTTAATTGTTCAGTTTTTATTAAAAAGGAAAATGCCGAAATATTTTTTTGCTAATAATATTTTTCAACAGATCGAAATTTAGAAACATAGTTTTTTTTAATTAGTTAATAAGATCGTAAGTACTGTCGCTAAAACAATATTTAAAGATTCATTCGAGACCCCTAGCGGTGAAAATATTAACTAAACAGCATCACAGCTCTTCAAGTTAAACAATAACAGAATTATAAATCTTATTTGGAAATAGTTTACGAATTAACGCCACAGAGAATTAATATATGTTTCATCTATATGTAACAGCAATGATGATGATGATTATATGACAAACAAAAACAATACCAATAATATTACTATCGATAGTAGAATTTCAAGACCCTGTAATGATAACAGGGTGGTTAAAAAGTTGCCGCACAGCTCAATGCTAATACGGACTTTTTCAGTTTCGACCTGCAGAACGTGAATAATTGCAGAATAAGTGCTTAATAATTTACAGAGAATTTATGGTGGTGACTTTAGTATCTGTTATCAATAAAATATAAAAGAATGAAATATATTTTCGTGCGCAATATTTCTTTAAATCATGGAGATTTAGAAAGATATGTAAATAAATAGAATTTATTATGTTGGACGTTTAATCGTTGAACACATTTTGTAATGATTCACTCGAGACCTCTATCGGTAAAAATATCAACTAAACAGCATGCTATTGGCGAGGTTGATCACTAACAAAAATAAAAAAACTCGTTAATTCAGTTGAATTAGGTTCACCAATGAACGCCGCGGAGAACTAAAAATGTAAAAATATTCAAATAAAAATAATAATAATGATATAACTAATATTTAACTAATATTTCTCCTAATCCTCATGCCCTATAATTATAACAGGGTTCCTAAAAAGTTGACGCACAGCTCAAAACTGCTACGGACTTCATATGACTCTTGTATTTTTGTAGTATAATGGAGCGTTTTGGTGCCCCAAAAAGTTCAACTTCAAAGGTCCCCCCTTTTTTGTGTGGTTTTTTCCCTTCCCTTTCCCATTTCCCCTTCCCCTTTTCCATTCCCTCATGCCCCTTTTCCCTTCCATTTCCCCTTCCCTCCCTCCTTTTTCCTTTTCCTTTTTCCTTTTTTCTTCATTTTTCCCCCCAAACCCAATGAAAGCTCAGGGGGGGGGGGGGCAATTATAAGTATCGATTATAAGTATCAATTGTGTGATGTAAGCAATTTATGGCGTTTTTGAGCTGGTTAAATTCAGTAAAAGGAAGGACAATTGATCAATAACAATCTAAGAACAGTAACAGTAACAGTAACAGTAACAGTAACATTAACAGTAACAGTAACAGTAACAGTAACAGTAACAGTAATAGTAATAGTAATAGTAATAGTAATAGTAATAGTAATAGTAACAGTAACAATAACAATAACAATAACAATAACAATAACAATAACAATAATAATAATAACAATAACAATAACAATAACAATGAAAAACAATAAAAATAACAATAACCATAATAATATTACCTGAAGTAAACTATTCTAAGGTCTAGTGACCCTTTTAACCATAATCTATCCATTACTCGAATCATTTGCAAGGTCAGCATATCCTGCCGTAGGTCATCTCCAACCTGGAATTCATAGATAGATAGATAGATAAAGAGCGATGGAGAGAAAGAGATATATAGGGATAGATCTGGTTGAGATAAAGAGAGATAGATAGAGGTAAAGAGAGAGATATAGATAAAAGAGATGGAGAGTGGAATTTTATGATCACGTAAAAATGAATCAAGAACCTCCAAAACCTATCTGTACTGTAGGGGGAGATCAAAACAATTAATTATAAAGGGACAAACAGTTTTATTGAGGGGCAGATACCATTTTTTGAGTGGCGGGTACAAGTAAAGAAATTGGCGTAGCCCTGATCTTTGTTTACAATCTTTGTTATTAATTGGATAATCTTTGTTATTTATTGGATTGTCAGAGTCTAATGTGCCTACAAACTCTATCCTCCTTCCTTTAGAATACATACTTTAAACTCAGGTTTAAAGGGACTGTAAGTGTAATATAAGTAACCCTCTCCACTCCATGCAAAGATGACAATTCCAGATTTACAACGGTACCCCTGAAACCTTTGTCTGATCAGTGACTATACCCTAGAAACCTTTGTCTGATCAGTGACTATACCCTAGAAACCTTTGCCTGATCAGTGACCATACCCCAGAAACCTTTGTCTGATCAGTGACCCTACCCCAGAAACCTTTGTCTGATCAGTGACTATCCCTAGAAACCTTTGTCTGATCAGTGACCATACCCCTGAAACCTTTGTCTGACCAGTGACCATACCCCTGAAACATTTGTCTGATCAGTGACCATACCCTAGAAACCTTTGTCTGATCAGTGACCATACCCTAGAAACCTTTGTCTGATCAGTGAACATACCCTAGAAACCTTTGCCTGACTACAAATAATTAAATATTGTCGTTACTCGTTTTTCTTAGTTTAACCCTGTTTAAAGTGTTATTTTCTAAATGCTTTCCTTAAGTAGAGAGAAACCAAAATTTAAAATTATCAGTTTTCAAAATTTTAAACATAGATGTCTAATACTTGATCTGACAAAGCCTTAAGGGTATCGTTGTGACTTGTGACATCGGACATTGCCATCTTTGCATAGAGGGTCACTTGAAATTACGCTTACGGTTCCTTTAAAAAGTATAAATTGACCTCCCCTATGTTAACTTGCCTTGTAAATGATCTGAATAACTCCACCATCGTTCTCTGCACTGTTCAAGACGACCTTCAAGGGGAAGGTGTTAGAGTTAAAATGCTGGCAGCTCTTTACATCCACACCACTAGCCGTCATACTAATAATTAACAAGATAGCTCAGGTTCCATCTACATAATAAAGCTCTTCGCTCATATATATAGATTTAAGGGGAACCCATGGGTATCCTGGGGTTAAATTAACATTTTTTTCAAAATATTTTTTTTTATTTCACGGGAAACGCCGAGCACTTAATTTAGTATACAATAAAACAGTCAATGTTAATCTTTATTTTCTGCAACTGGGATAATTTTCTTATTTTTTTTTTCGGAATCCATGTTCAAAGCGAAAAAGATATTAAATAGTTTCACTTTTTTATTAATAATTAATAATATTGTTGATAATGGGCATTTTCATTTATTAATAAAAGGTCATGAATTTTAATGCATTTTATAACAAGCATGACAAGAGATATACTGATCGTGACAAAATTTGATTTCTGTCACTCTATTAATATAATATACTTAAAAGGTGCACGATTAGTGCAAGCTCAGATTGGGAGAAGAACTTGGTTGGTGTATGATTTAAAAAATTACACCCGGGGGGAAGAGGGGGTTCTGTGGGGGGAATTTATTTTTATGAATTGGAATAAAATCAAAACACAAGTTTTTTATTCCTTTTTGATAATTTTCCCCCAAAAAAATCATTTAGTTTTGAATAGGGGGAGAAGGTTGAAGAGAGGAGGAGTTGAAAATAGGGAGGGTTTCAGGGGGGGGGGTAGGTTGAAGATGGACGAGAAGGTTGAAGATGAATTGGGTAAAATAGGGGGAGAAGGTTGAAGAGATGAGGCTTTGAAAATGGGGAGGGTTTCAGGGGGGGGGGGTAGGTTGAAGATGGACGAGATGGTTGAAAATGAATGGGGTAGAAGGTTGAAGAGAGGAGGCTTTGAAAATGGGGAGGGTTTCAGGGGGGGGGGGGGAGGTTGAAGATGGACGAGAAAGTTTAAGATGAAATGGGGGAGAGGTTAAAATAGGGGGAGGAGTTAGAATAGGGGGAGTAGGTTGCCTAGGGGACAAGTAAAATATTACCTCGCAGACAGCGGAACAAGGGTAGGTGTAGTCCGTAGCTGATGATGTAGGTTCTCCATATGTCGGGCTAAAATTTAAAAATATAAAAATAAATTTGTTTTTAATGGGAATCTATGAATTTACACTTTATGAGCTGGTTCTTTGAGTAAAAACTACGTATATTTGAAATAAAAACAATTTTCTGCTTTATATTACTAAATAAAAGCAATATTTTCTGTAAACTGAATTATTTGACTAAACATAAATAAATGTCCGGAATTTTTATGTTGAATGGTTCAGGGTTGCCCACAAAGGACGAGACTTTAATAACGACCTAACCTTTTAAATGCGAAGACCGGAAGGTTATTTTTAGTTCTTAAAGGGCAAAGTTAGAAAAAAGTACTATGCCCCGGGGCACCAGTAATTACAAAAAATAAAACTGAATGAATTACGTACAGTCGTCTCTGAAGTCTCATCTTTTGTGGTTAACCCAGTATTTACCTAAAATATTATGTCTATTGTTGTCCTTTGATGTTTTAACTGCTTCTGCAGACTGATACAATTCTTGTACAAGTACTTGCTGGGCAAACAGTCTAAAATATTTAATAAAGATTATCAATATCTCGCCTCAATCTTAACTTTCTCAATCCTAAATATCTACAACCTGATGGTGTAAACTTTTGCCGTTTTAAACTTGGAGAAGAGTATTAAATTGCGTTCAAGTCTCTTATAGTTGTAAAAAATCAGATCAGACAAAATAAACAGCAACCATAAAGACGATAAATATTGTTACTCCACTTTTAGAGAAATAACAGAATTTGGCATTTAATTTAGTTTTTATAAATTAAGTAATACAAAGTCAATTGAAAATAAAAATGAATGAAAAACTGAATAATTTGTACAAATTTAGTCTAATGGAATTTCACATTTGTTTGATTTACGTAAATTAAGTATCAAGTAGTCATGCTATTTTTGATTCGTCAATTATTATTCTTATTCTGTTAAACGTACTAAACTTAAAACTGAAAAATCAATTATTTTGATATGCTGCACCTCGGTCTCTCTAAATTTAACTTNGTCTTGTCTTGTCTTGTCTTGTCTTGTCTTGTCTTGTCTTGTCTTGTCTTGTCTTGTCTTGTCTTGTCTTGTCTTGTCTTGTCTTGTCTTGTCTTGTCTTGTCTTGTCTTGTCTTGTCTTGTCTTGTCTTGTCTTGTCTTGTCTTGTCTTGTCTTGTTCTGTCTTGTTAATATCTAAGGTCAACTTATTTTTCCTTTGTAGGAGTCTACTAATTTCTTACTTGTTTCTGAGCGCTTGACCGGAAATGACGAAAAGCGTGCGAAGAAGAAGTTGAAGACGACGTTGATGCCGCGCAGCAGATATTCCAAACTTATCCTTATCACTCCCGCCATCAGAGTTCTACAAGTGAAAAATATTAGAAAAAATAATTCAATTGAGAGTTGGACCCCATGCTAATACTCGAAGATCTCCTTTTTCATAAAGAGCTCAATATTTCACTTTCAAGCAGTGATTAGAATCTATTTCATTTTAATGCGGATCCGGATTCTGTAAAACATTTATTTTTTATTTTTCGCGTTTTATCATGTTGAAACTTAGGGAACGATGCAGTTTTTAACAGTCGCTTATTAGCGATGAAAAATGCTCTATTAATTTGGACACTCTTTGCCCTGTTGCGACCAAACAAAGAAAGGTAGAAACTTTAAAACAATGGAAAAGATGCTCAGAAACAGGAACAATGGAATTGAAAAAACGAAATTGGAATAATTTGAAAAACGAAATGGGAATTGAGAGTAGTAAATTATTTTGGACCAAATATCAGTATTTTTGGACTGAAAATGCCGTAAAATAGCATTTCTATTAAAACTTTATCTAATCGGATCACTTTCAACTATTTCTCAGCCCCCCCCCCCAGAGAACATCTAAAATTATCGATGAAAAAGGGATACATCTCCAATGATGATCATTGTAACCTGGAATATTTTTATAAGACTCTATTTTAAGGAAAGAATGAACTTTAATAACATTTTAAGCGTGCATGTTATCAGTAAATTAAAACATAGATTTAGTATAAAAATGCAAAACTAAAATCATATTGAGAATTGGTATTCTAAAATAAATAATGAATTTGGGGAAATCTATATATAAGAAGAAAAATAAGAAGAAAAACGTCAAGTGCTTTATTGATGGATTTGATAAAAATAGATGATGTGATGGCCGGATTAAGGATTATGCACTTCACAGGGATACCCACAAAGAATGTGACTTCAGAGACGACTGTACAGAATTCATACGGTTTTCCCCCTTACATTTAAACTTGTTTCTTTCTTTGTCTTATCATTGAATAAGCCATAAAAAGATTATATTCAAGGCAGAAGAATTAATATAACCTCGGAATCGTCAAATTTAACGAATTTCAGGTCGTCTTTACAATCTCATCTTTTCTGGGTAACCATATTTAAGAAGGGGGGGAGGGGGCAATCTTTGTGTCACCAAATTTTGTACAGACTGCGTTTGGTCCTAATATATGGGATAGAGGGCTGAAATTTTGCATGCAGCCTCTAATTTTTGAGGTCACGGCCTCCAGGAGCATCATAATGGAATCGGAACACAAAAAAAACCTATGAATTGATATCTCATGACTTATTTCATTGATTTAATACCATTTTTGGAGGTCATTATCGAAGGGAAGTCAAAAAGAGGTCGGATACATGTGCATATCATCGCATAACTTATGTGGTAGCAATAAGTATAAAACCTGTCCAGATGCTCCTGGAGGCCGTAACCTCAAAAATTTGCTTACCTCCGGAGGTAAAAAAATATGAAATCTATGACCATAATCAGAGTCTGCACGTAAAATGTTAGCCTTCTTTCTCAATTTTTAGGACAAACGCAGCCTGTACAAAATTTGATGTCACAAAGTGTCGAATTGACCCTCAGGCCCAACCCTTTTATGCCTGGAAATAATTTTTCATGTTCCCCTCATTTTTCGCTTAATAAGTCACAATTCTATTGCTAAAAAATTTAATAAGTCTAAATCCAACTAAAAGAGAATTAAAAAGAAATTGGCATTGGCAGAACAGAAAACAGAAATGTTAATATCTATGATAAAACAAGGATACACTATAAGCTTCCCATCTCGTGGGGAGGGGGGCATTTGTTTAACACGGTAATAAAAGCAATTAACCGCCCCGTAAAGCTAAGCATTAACATGAATTTATTACAACAATTAAGAATGGTATACAACTTTACGACATGTTTTTTTCAAATATCTTAAGTTAAAATTAGTATTTTCAAAGTTCAGAAAACATTCTTTAAAATTAGATGCTTTATGTATTTTTTAATAAGTGAACAAAACAACCAAAAAATGACAATTGAAAATTAATTGATAGATTAAAAATAATACCATAAAAAAGCATGCATGAAAAGATCCATCGGATATATTTAAAAATGATGTTTTCGTTTAAAACTCTACAATAGCTACAAAATTATTTCATTTTTTTAGTGTTTTATTCTGATATTTTGATTTTCCGAATGAAGAGAATATCGAAAGAAACTTTGCTCAACCCTAGCTGTAATTCTGCTGAGCAAAGCTAGAATTGTAAATGTTACATAAAGAACAAATGTTCCCAGCCATTGCTTGGAAACAACCAACCTACTACTAGATGTTTGAAAATATTAACTACATCGCAAAAAGTTTAAAATAGGAAAAAACACTTAATGAATGTCAGCGTAGTTCCAAGTGAACCTTAAAGCAAAGATGGCAAAGCTTTGTCTGATTAAATATCAATTATACAATAATGTTTATAATTTAGAAAACTGATAAGTTGACTACAAGAAAACAGAAAGGAATGTTCAGAATTGAACATTCTTAAACCTAAAAGAACAATATGTTCTATGTAATAGATCAGATAAGATTTCAAGGGTATCGTTGTGAATTGGGCTTTGGCATCATGGCAAAGAAGGTCACTTGAAATTACGCTTACAGTTCCTTTAACGATTATAAAACAGCAAATTAAATGAAGGAAAACAGATGTTTTGTTTTTCTTCTTAAACAATGAACCATGAACCTAAAAACATAATTAAAAATCTCGGCGAGTATTGAAGAGCCAAAAATATTGTTATTTTCAGTGTTTCTGAAAGGTACCGTCCACGTAATTTTGAATGAACCTACATATTTAGTGTTCTATTCCATACCGTACCCACCAAACCAATATCAAGATTAAATAGGATATCGTAGCCGTAGACAGAAATTGTGGTCGTTTTTCTTCATCGACTTTGCTACTAGGATCAATTACAATTAATTTTTTTAAAGCTCAAAATTGGTTATTTTCATTTGTGATTTCTCTTCAAAAGGGACGTGCAGATTTATGCCGAAAAGACACTGAGAGAGATTGATATAATTTGCCCCAGACTAAAATATTTATTTGTGGAGAATTTAGTTTTCCGAATATAAATTTAGAATTGAAGAATGGTAAATAAGTGATTTCCTCACACAAATTATCATATTTTGGTGAGAAACATGGCCAGAGGTGGGAAATATGAATAAGATAAATACATTTGCATTTATTAAAATAGCCAGGCAGGGAGGGGGGGGGGGGGAGGGTCAAGGTGTTTAAAAATATGCAAAGAACCCAGGGGGTCTTGGATTTTTAAAATAAATGTGAAAATCGATGTTTCCTAAAGAAAAATATATCATAATTTAAAGGGACTGTAAGCGTAATATTAAGTGACCCTCCATGCAAAGATGACAATGCCCGTGATACTACGGTACCCTTGAAAGCGTTGTCTAAACAAAGATGAATTATATACCAATGGCTTTGTTTCTTTAATCTGTTTATTTTCATTTGCGGTTTCTCTGCAAATGAGTGAATTTCAATTTTCAAGCAATGGAGACATTCCAAGAAATAAACACTTTCCGAGTCAGAACAACAAGGATATCTTCCACATTTTTGATCAGATTAAAGGGAGTGTTCGCGAGAAATGAAAGGGGGTATATGCATACGGCGAAAAATAAGCGCTTTTGATCGCTACTAATCTTACTTCTATCTGTGGCGTAAGGAGAAAATTGTTAAAACGACTCATACCGAATAACGTAGCATCGACCCAAATTGAGAAAATTGCAATCCATGAGTAAGATCGTAAAAAAATCGATTTATTATCAAACAAATCATTTAGCTATTACAACCTTTAGTCATCGATTACTTTTCGATGCATTGGCATCTAGTTGATATTTCATAATATTTTGTATTTGATTTATTTACAATGCACTTAAAACGCCGATTAGTTTGTCCGCCAAGTGTCTCTGCTCTCGATGCTCTTAATGATTCCACGTGACAGAGACACCTAGCGGAAAAAATCGCTGTTTTAAGTGCATTGTTTATAAAAGAAGTAAAATATATTATGAAAAATTAACTATATACAAATGTGACGAAAAATAATCGATGACTATAGGTTGTAATATCTGAATGATTTGTTTCAAATTAAATTGATTTTTTTTACGATCAGAGTCGTATACAACAACGTTCTAAATTTGAGTGGATGCTATGTTATTCAGCCTAAATCGTTTTTATAAATTTTCTCCTTATTGACGCAACAGATAGAAGTAAGATTAGTAGCGATCAAAAGCGCTTATTCGTTGTCGTAAGCCTATACCCCCTTTCATTTTTCGCGAATACTCCCTTTAAGGTTTCAAATAGTACCGTTGAAAATCGGGCTTTGTCATCTTTGCATGGAGGGTCACTTGAAATTACGTTTACAGTCCCTTTAACATAATGACGCGAGGAGGCAACTAATGGCAGATGTCAAATTCCATTAAATTACTTTCATGCTTGGATAAATACAAGTCTATATAATATATAGTAATAGCTTGGTTATCCAGTATCGCCTGGAGACTAAATAAAATTCATTCAAATAATTTTTTAACAAGCTAAGAACACTCCAGTGGTTCTAACGAGTTCTCAAGATTCCTAAATCAAAATTTGAAGCAAATCAGTCAAGGAATTCCTGAGTTATGATCGGACAGACAAACAGTGATTAATGTTTTAAATATATAAAAAGATGTATTGAGTTGAGCACCGAGGGAAAATTTTATTCTCTAAAATTGGCTTTAATGAAATTTTGCAAAAAGCAAAAACAAAATTGAACAAACCATTCGATGTGAAGGTTCGATTAACATCGATGATCAATATTTTGTAATTTGTAGGCAAGCAAGAAATCCGTAACCTTCAGATCGTATTATTTAATTAAGTCTTATGTCGTGAGAAACCTGTGTGCATCACTTTTCATCTAAATATTTAAAATTTTTGTATTCCTAATATTTTTAATTTTCAATTTGAATAAAGCATTGTTTATAATCTTAGGTGTCATGTTTACAAACAATCAGGCTTTATGTTTCTTCA